ACCAAACACAGAGAATAAGGAGGGAGGAGTGTGTGTGTGTGTGTGTATGCGTGTGTGTGTGTGTGTGTGTGAGGACTGGGGGAGGGTTTGGTAGGGGATTTGGCAGCTCCTTTGATCAGTAAAGCATAAACAAGAGGGGGCTTCAAAATGGGTTTCATTGTGTGGGGGGGAGGAGTGCTGAGTCAGGCCCTCTCGCTCTCTGGCCTGGGATAGAGAGCAGACAGGCAGGCTGGGATTACCGCAGAGGCCAAGAGGAACTCTCTGAATCTCTCACTTCACCCAGCTGTTCCAAAATCTGGGCTAATGGCGTTTTGGGATCAAACTAACAGCGAGTTGTAAAAAATCTCAGTGACTGGAAGAACACATCCAGAACATGATGATTGCGGGGCACAGTAGATAGATTGCTGAGGGAAATAGTTGACTGCATTATAAACAAACTCTTTATTTTTTGTCATGTGTATTGAAATAATCCATATAAAGTCGGTGGTATTGCATAAACAAGCTGCTGGAGTTGGTGCCTGTTTGTTTGAGGTGAGGGGGTTCTCTTAAATGGGATGTTTCAAAAAAACAACAAAAAAAGAACAAGTGAATAGTGGGGTTTTAGGTCGTAGCTCAGTCTGTGCCTTTGTCAAGCAGGTGAAAGCTTTGTAAATGTGGCGCCAGATTGTTAAAGCCCCTGACACTCCACAGTGTCCGAGCCACTTCCAGGAAAAAGGACCCCCTGCGTTGAGCCCTGGGACTGACCCTCCCTCAATAGAGAGGGTCCTGCTCGGGAGAGGAGGGCTTCCTGTATTAGCTTTCCATCTTAATCAAGCAACAAGTACCAACAAAGCACTAATTATCAATGCCTTCACAGAATGCCACACAATGCCCCCTCCCCCGGTCCCCACTCCTGTCCCAGCAAAGACGAGCCATAAAATAGATGGAGCAACATTGTTTGACATTACAATAGTTGTTTTGAAACCAATCATAGCCTCTTAGACATAAAAAAAAAAACGTGTTCAGCTTACCTATGACAGATAACAGATGTTTGACTATTTTCCTACTGTTTGGTTTGTTTAATATTTCAGTACAGGGGTCAGTTTCTCATTCTGATTCATCACACACACAATTTTAAGTGAATTATATGGAAAAATAGCCCAGTCTGAGCCTTAGATGAAATCATTGTGTGAATCCACATTGAAATGTGGGCTCAGACTGGGTCCAAACAGACACAGCTGAGTTTGTCTTCCTGTAACAGTCATCGTTTACAGAAAGAAGGAGTTAGATTCAGTGTTTTCATCAAAGAGCTTGTTGAAACTGCTCTGAGTCATCAGTTCCTGTATGTGACCCACTGCTTTGCGTTAATATTGTCCCTGGTTTGAACTACTGACTACTGAAGTAGACACATTGGTGGTCATTCTTCTGACCTTTTGGTCTGGTTATCTTTTCTCCTTACAGTCACATTGATCAGACCACCACTTGGCAGGATCCTCGCAAGGCCCTGCTCCAGATGAACCAGGCTGCCCCGGCCAGTTCCGTGCCAGTCCAGCAACAGAACCTTATGAACCCAGCCAGTGGTGTGTATATATTGACTTAGTTGAATTTAGTTTTTCTATAGAAGCAGAACAGAATGTGCATTTCAGATAAGGTCCATCATATTTCGGGGTTTTTTCAAGTATTACACAGAATTTCCCTGAGATTATTTCTGGGTATTTTCTTACATTCATACCACATACAGTAGAAGTCAGGAGCAGTCTAGTCTAGTTCTTACATGTCACTAAGACTCGGTGTACCTCAGTTCTGTCCATGCAGTTGGAATTTGCCCCAGGTGAGGTAAGACTGAGGTAGAACATGACAGGTCCTGTCTGACATGTTTGGGAGCTCCATGACTCACAGATTACAGAGTTTACAGATGAAGCCTCTGTATTCTTAATTCGTCACTGTTCCATTTGGCAACCTAACAGTAAATGGAAGAAAAAAAAGCTTTAAATGTTGACAACAGGCTTGTTTGTTTTCAGTGACAGACAAAAAAGATTTATTAGATTCTGAAAGATAATAATATGCTGCCATTTGTCTTTAGCCTAGCCCTTTATTTCTAGCATGTGCATATTATGATATATATCTGATGCCACGTTTCTCCTACTTGAAGAGTGTCTATAACAACTATATGTATATGTACTGTAGTTATGCCTAATTTTGTATTATAGTAATGTTGCTATATGTTATGCAGTTATGTAAATAAAATAAAAATCACCACCAGTATCTCTTCAACATTATTTTTGCCTGTCATCCCTCAGGTCCTCTCCCTGATGGCTGGGAACAAGCTATTACATCAGAGGGTGAAATTTACTACATCAACCACAAAAACAAGACCACATCCTGGCTTGACCCAAGACTTGACCCGCGCTTTGGTGAGTTTGTTATAGATCTGTATTTTTTTCTTAGTTTAGGTATTTATTAAAATACCAGGTTTGTTCTATTTATTAAATCAAGACAGGCCCTTGTAGCTAGTTAAAGTTATATTAAAAGTGTAAACAAGGGAGTTTTACCAGGAACTGCCTCTGCAGTAAAGAGTTTTTCAAACATTTGGTTTTTGTGACAGCAATTTACTTTCTCTAGTAGAAAGCTTTGGATAATCCATAAAAGATGCACCACCACTTTTGTAACAGTGAGTTCAGTTCAGTATGATTCATTATTCCTTTCACTGTGCAACATTGTTTTGGAGTGACTAGTCATACCATTGGTTGTTGAAAACAGATTTCACCAAACCCCCACCCTCAAAATCTGCACCTAACCTTTTGTCAGCCATTTTAGTGTTGGAGCAACAGCTGAGTTGGTCATTAATCCCCCTGGCCAAGCTAAAGTTTGACAGTCAGCTTTCAGTGTGTGGTGGCCAGGGTTGGTGAATTAGTGACAGAACCCGAGTACATGTGTTGAGATTTCTCTGTGGCCATGGGAATGAGCTAATCCTCCTGCGCTAGGAAGACTTCCAGAGATGAAGGTTCCTGCTTATGTCTTATGACTCATTTACGGTTCAGGTGCCACCCCTTCATTACAGCAACATTCCCCAGGGAAGCTCACCCTGGTTCACAAAGACAACATGTGCGAATCAGCACGCAGGCTGTTATCCTGTTAAATTTTAGTGTTACTTTTTATCGAGCCTGGGCACTTAAAGGACAGTTTTTCTGCAAGCAATTGTGTGTCCGACTCTGAAGGCAGATACGAAAGTTCAAAACAGAGTTGTAAGGGGAGTGGGGCAGCTGGGTAGAGATGGCGGCTCTGATCGGCAAACCTCTTTGAAGATTTATAAGTCTTGAACACACAAGGCTGCTGGGCCCCTGAGAGCGAGTGAGAGGGAGAAAGAGACCATGTTAACTCATTATGTGCCATCAAACATGATTTTGTTCCACATCAGATAAAATCTCCTCTGTGTTTACTAATTCTAATTCTATTTATACATTTCATATTCCTCATTCTGCTATTATTTGTACCTTTTTGATCCTTTAGATTTTAGAAAGTTTGCAAAGTCCTCAAACTACTTGGTAGTTAATGAGGCTCTGTGCTTGTATACCTCATTTTATTCTTTGCAGTTATTTTTGAATCATATTTTTGACGTTTGTGCAAAGAAATGGGCTTCTCTGCTTCAAAAACCTCTGTACTGCTGCTATGTAGGTCTCCAATCATAAGCCAGCTGCTTTGATAATGGAGGCTAATTTGAGCTTTGAGAAGAAAAGCAGCAGAGCGCCTTTAACTGAGGGTTGTTGCCGGCTGGCTTTCCCCTGCGTGAGGCCCAGTGCAGGCACAGCCCCATTCTGCTCTAGCTCCAGACAGACTTGAATCTCTGCCAGGCCTCTTTATTCTGTGGTCCAACTCTTAATCTGTTCCAGACCTTTTCAGTCAAAGAACTCCAATGTGAGAGGGGAGGTGGGGGGCAGGGAGAGGCAAGGCGAAAGGGGAAGAAAGAAAAATGGAGGAACAGAGGGAAAATGCCGACGGGATAAGCATGCATCCTCTCTAAGGAGGTGGTGAACAGCGAACAAGCCATGAGTGCACTGTGGCTGAGTTCAAAAGGGGGCTGGCCTATGTGGTTATATTGTTTTCTTGATGTAGTACTCAACTGAACAGCAAGGAAAACATAAATGTATTTCTTTGACGCCTTAATGTAAAGCCATTTACCAGACTTGCTGCATTATCTGTCATGTGATGTTTTTCTCTCTCCTCTGCTGTCTGAGTACTTCACCAGAAAAGCTGGCATCTTATTAATGATGTCACCACTATGCAATACTCATGGTGTAATGAGGCAGCAGTGAGCCAGTTTAAAGGGTTAGTTCTTATTTTCCCACTTGCCTATATAGGTATCTATTTATGTGTACAGTGTTGGGTTTATCTGCTAATTCTTTTAATTTTTTATTTCAGATTTTTGTACCTGCTCCATTGGGGGGGTGTCAATGAGAAATTATATCTGGAAAAACAATAACATGTTTACTTTGGATAACCAACTGACCTTACTTCTACTTTCTACTGAACTAATAGTCCCTACTGACTAATTTGAGTGAACTGACCATTTAACAGTGACACCTTCCAGGTGATTTTCACACAATTTGGAGGATTAAAAAAATCATTGTATAGCTATATTTGCAGTTTAGTCTCATTGTTGTTAATAAAGCGTTAAGTACTTAATCATTGAACAGGTAAATCCAACACAATATCCAGTTTTTACCTGTCACTGTGTACTACAATAATTCCCAGACACTGTTGATATTTCCTGACTGACTCAGTTTTTTTCCATCTCCTTGCCATGCAGAGCCAGGTCAACATAGGCTGGCTTTACTCTGACCTTACTGTTATACAAGATGATAAAACAGTGTTTGTATCACAGCCAGACTGTTTCTCCACTTTGCTTATCTCAGTGCTAGAAATACAACACCTTCCCAAGGGGCCTTTTTTTAAACTTGTTAAATCGACAGCAGACAAATATTTACAAAGCCTTCAAAGGTGCTGCGCCCTGGTCACATAGAGAACTTCCCACAGCTGGCACACCTTCAACCCTACCTAACCCCAGGTGATCTTGCGGTGTAATGCCAGTGTGATGGTCTGATAAGGGCCTGTGTTGCCGGCTCGTTGTGTTGCAGGAGTGCGTGAAGAAGACAAAAGGCAGACGGCATTAACTTGTCTCTTATCTGCCTGGCCCACCAGCTATCACCGCCCGTATGTGCTGCTGACTTCAACCCCTCCAGACACACACACACACA